GGTACGAGACTTGAACCCGCAACCTTTGGGTTACGAGTCCGACTCTCTAACCATTAGGCCACGACTTCCCCAATATATACCGCTGATGAGCTGAAAACACCGGCAAACATTTAAGTTGGAGCTGAGCAACTGAGATATTCTGCTCAAATAAAGTGTAATACAACCAGACTGTTTACTTTCAGTCATTTGTGCTGTTTTCTGTGACTAAATCTGCGAGTTGATCAGGGTTGCCAGGTCCGTGCAACAAAACCTGCCCAACTGATAATGTAGCATTCTATTTCTCACAGGGGTGAGAGGAGGATTGTTTAACATGTAGACTAAAAAACAACCCACCGCAACAGTGTAAAAAATTTCACAGGAAAACCGCACACTTGGCAACACTGGAGTTGATGTTCTCTTGATTTGTGCTTATATGAAAGTGCAATAATTCTAACGAAATGTTAAAAAAATTAAATTAAATTAAATTACAATAATTATTATTATATCTCTGAGCAATATTTAAACCATTTAAACCAGTGGTCGCCAACCCGTCGATCACGATCGTAGATCTTTATCACTGTCCCAGTAGATCACGAAAAAAAACAGTAAAATAAGTACAAAAATGCATTACATTTATGGGGTTATATTAATGTATCACTGAAGGGTACTGTCTTGAGAAACGTTTCGATGGCAATGGCATTTTCTTCTCCGTATAAAGCGCAACTCTACTTTGTTTACAGCGGTAACCAAGGAAATGCTATATTGTGGTCGGTTCATAAGCAGTGTTGCCAAGTCCGCGGTTTTCCCACGGAATTGTAGCCAATAAATAAATTTGCTTAAGTATCAGTATCAGAATCCAATTTGCTAGTAAAAAAAAAAAGAAAAGAAAGAAAAGACAATCTGAATCCGCTATGATCGGCGCATCACTAATTAAAATACTAAGTAAAAGGCCTCAAATTTGAAGTACAATCTGGGATGTCTTTTTCTATCAATTCTTCAATAGATAGATCTTGTCTTTCATAAAGGCCGATGTCAGGGATCTTGGGCCTAAAAGGGTTGGTGACCACTGCTCTAAAGAAACAGGATTCCCTAAATTATCGTCATTGATATCGTTATCGCAATAAATATCAGAAATTATCGTGATATATTTAAAAGCCCATATCGCCCATCCCTAGTGGAGGCAGAACGCTTCCCCTGACCACTTCACTAACGCTAGCTTGATTTGTTAACTTGTTTTTAAACAATGACTGGAGAAAATCCGATTTTATCTGAAGATGTACGGTCGCTCACTGTCCGGGAATATGCGGGTGTACACCGTCAAACCTACAGGAGCACAGCACAAACGAAACCTGGGCTAATGTGTGGTGCTTGAAAAGCTACGTGATCTTGAGGGGCACATTGTCACGTGTGACAATTTTTTCACCTCGTCATGACACAGAGCTCTTACAAAGAAAAATAAGGATATGAACTGTGCGGAAAAAAAAAAACAAAACAAGCCAGAGCTCCCAAGTGCACTGGTGAATAGAAGAATACAGTACTCGTTTTTCAACTTTGTGTTCACCGAGACACACACAGTTGTGTCCTGCTGCTGTAAAAAGAACAAGAATGGGATTCTTATGAGCACCGCACACAAGGATGCAGCAGTCAGTGAACACGAGGACTGAAAGCTGAAGATGATTTTAGACTACAACTAGGGTTGTGACGGTGAGGAAATTTTCCCGCCGGTTAATCGACGTGTGACAACACCAGTAATACCGGTATTACCGTGGGGGCGGGGGCGTTTCCTCTTTTTCTTGCTTTCCTTTGCTTTTAAATAGCTTGCAAAAGTGTCGTGTGCATTTTACTTTAACTTTTAAATAGCGGCAGTTCAGCGTCAGTTGCTTGAATGCAACAACAAAATACA